ATAATACTGCCCTGATAATCTTAGCGCACGGGTAGTGAGACTCCGATTCTCGGGTACTTCTCTTCTGAGACTTGTTCGTACCCCCAGCCCGATAGTACAACTCATTGGCATGATTACCAGAGCAACCTACCGTGTGTTGGCATGACTCCTCAGGTATAACATCGTCGTCTGATGAACATGTTACCTTCTGAGGATTCGTCGTCTTGTCGGTGCTCTCAAGAGTCGTACGTTTTGAGTCACGCTTTCGTGAGCGTGAGACCTCAACGGGCTCTTGGACAATGACTCGCAGTCCGAGGCGGTCAGTTATAGGAGCTTGCCCATTATAGGAAGGCTCTGATTTGTTGGAAGGGTGAGTGCGACCCCCAACTCGATGAGTTGCTCGGGGTTCATTCATAATGCCCAAGCGTTCTTTGACTAGAGCTTTGCCTTGATCCTCGTGCAAAAGACCCAGGCGTTCTGCTATCACTTTCCTGCCTTTGGATATGTCCATATTGTCGCGGAGCTTCACCGAAGGTGCGGGATTAAAAGGAGCGAGATCTGAACTTGACGAAAGCTGGGAACCAGCTTTGGATCTGGAATCGACCGAGAGACACGACTGATGTCTTTTATCGAGTAGGGACGCTGATTTGGCCTTCGGCACCCAAACCTGCTCAGATCTTGGTGATTTCTTGATCACCTCTTCCCGCTGTAATTCTCGTGCCTCTCGCACAAGGATCTGGGCGTGCGCAATAAGTGCACGGCGCTTCTGGACGCGCTCCTCGAGGGTAGAACGGGTTCGTTTGACCTGAACCCATTTGTTAATTAGAGGTTGGGAGGAGGGTCCCGATGCTTGTTGTGGCGATAGCTTAGTCACTTGGCGCTTTCTAAACTCCCAATCCGCTTGGTAACGGAGTCCGTCCACCTGATCTAAAGCTTTGGCGAATTGGTGTGCGAGGCGTTGGCGTTTTCTTTGACGTGCTCTCCTTGATAGAGTTGGCGCGCCTTCAGCAGTCGGCTCCTTGATCACGAAGGAGTTCAGATCTACAGATCTGGGATCATTACAAGGTGCAACTGTAGCAGCGACGACGTGGAGATCGACTTCTTAGGTCTTCAGATCTGGAGACCGGCGGATCTTCTGGGAGGAGGAGATCTTCCTGCGCTTATGAGGAGGAGCAGATATGGAGGAGGAGGAGGAGATGTACTCTTCAAATTTCTGCTGGTCGAATTCGTACTCGACCTCTTCAGCCACGGGGATCTTGATCGTCGGTTGCGGCACGACAGCCTCGGCAGCGAGGCTGTTGGCTCCCACTGTGGTCGCCAGTTTGTTTGCGTTGAAAGTTGCTATTTTCATTGCTATCGAATCTATCACAACTTTAGTCGTTAAAATAAACTCGAATAAAATAAAAAGTTGATCTTTTTATAAGATCTCCTTACATAATAAAAATAAAAAAATTTATAACTTTATCAAACAAATGCAAAGATCGTTTATCGGTCTTCTGCTTGCGTGGGATCTTGGCCTGTGACGGGGACGTTGATATCCGTGGACCACCGCCGATCAAATCTGATTGCTGAAAAATTGGGCAGAGCTTCATTGATTCACGAAGGAATCAAGAAACCGTATCGCTTATCTCGGCAACGTCGAGATAATTGCTCTTCTTAAGATTATCGCAACGGGATAATCTTAAGGAACGGACCCGTGGAACTGCAGATCTGACGAGCTCCTCTTCTTTATGCCGACGAACTCGATTAGATCTCTACTCCTCCTCCTCTCTGAAATTCTTGCACTTTTGATCTTCAATCCGGCAGGGTTTCGCCAACGCTCGAGAATTCTAGATCCAGAAAAATGAAGGCCTGAGGCTTCTATTTATAGGCTCCCGGGGGGGGGGGGGTTAAAACTGCACAACGGCCCCATTTTAGGCCTGGAGACACCCCTGGGTGTCTCAGCGAGGCCGAGACACCTTGGGGTGTCTCGCTTGTGCCGAGACACCTCGGGGTGTCTCAACTCAGGCTGAGACGTTCTGTTTTGTACATTTGTCCGTTTCTACCATAACTTCTTCGTCCAAACTCGGATTTGAGTGATTCAAAGTGCGTTAAAAAGCTGGCGAGGAGATTTATAAGCTCTGATGATTAGGTCATTGTGGAATAAACTGGGATACGAGAGGCGTTTCCCCTTTTGTAAACGACGCGGGGTTCCTGATCAGTTCGTATCCTCGCTATTCTAAAATTCCGTTACTTTACGTAGTTCGTCAATTCACTTCAAGCGTTTATCGATGTTAATGAAGATTCTGTAATTTGGATAGTGATGTTCCTCATCTCCTCCTAGCTCTGAGCTGCTCACGGAGACCTATAGGTAATTTTCGATGCCTATAATATGACCGAGTCTCTGGTATCACAGCTTTGAAGTCTCATTGCGTGCTGCAACTGAGATCAAACAACGTGCACCTGTTGTCATATACATGGTACCAGTCTTATTGCCTCGAGCAATCATTATTGCGCCTTTTGAGATCTTCCAATCATCTTCATGAAAGGTCGTAGTATATCCTTCGCCAGCCAACTGACCTACGGATATTAAGTTCTTTCTCAGGTCGGGAATATGTCTGACATCCTTCAGCTCCCATACTGACCCGTTCAACTTAATTTTCACCACACATTTTCCCACAATAGTACACGGTTGATCATCATCAAGATATACGTATCCAAGATTTCTGAGAACATATTTCTCGAAGAATTCTTTCTGAGAAGTGGTATGGAACGACGCTCCTGAATCTAACACCCAAGATTCCTCCTTACTCTCCAAAGAGCATATCAATGCGTCGTCTCCTCCTGAGGTGGAAGTAACATTCACCTCTGCCTTCGCCTCCTTCTCCTTCTGAGCACTCTTGCACTGATTCTTGTAATGCCCGATCTTTCCATAATTCCAACACTCGATAGCCTTCGAACTGTTGCTTGGATTTCTTGATTTGGACCTCCTGACCTTATCTACCTCTGTAGTTTAATTTGCCTCGTCCGTTCTCTCTGGTTGAATTTCTACCTCTTGACTTTGTATGCTGTACTGAAGAGGTTATAGCTTCACCTGACTCTCCCCATCGAATCCCCTCACTGAGAACCAGATCATGAACGTCGTCGAACTTCAACTTGTTGTTTCTCGACGAGCTACTCACTGCCGTGACTGTAGCGTTCCAACTCTCTGGGGGGGAAGACAACAGTATCAACGCCCAAACTTTCTCATCAAACTCAATTTCAACTGAACTCAATTGGATTGTGACCGTGTTGAGTTCATTGAGGTGTTGTGCTACTGACGCGCCTTCTGCCATTTTCAGATTGAATAACCGCCACATCAAATGAACTTTATTTGCGACTGATGGCTTCTCATACATATTTGAAAGTGCTGCCATAGGACCCGTCATGGTCTTCTCCTTTGCTATGTTGAACGTAACATTACGAGTCAACGTCAATCTGATAACTCCAAGGGCTTGTCTATCTAGAAGGTTCTACTCATCTGCCTTCATAGAATCTGGCTTCTTCCCAGATAGTGGTTGATATATATTTTTCTGATACAGATAATCCTCTATCTGTATTTTCTAGAATCCAAAATCTGTTCCATCAAACTTCTCAAGTCCCATTTTTCCTTCATCTACGACCATGACTCCCACTCGAATCTAACTTCCTCTAGATCGTTTCACGTTCTGATACCAGTTGTTGGGAATTTGATGCCGAAACCCCTTTGACAACAAAAACGCAGAATAAAAAAAGTACATCAAGATTTAATAAGGTTCGGCAACTGCCTACGTCCTCGAGAGCCACACAGTAAATTTCTTATTAATCTTACAAGAAATTACAAAGCAAGAGCAGATCTTAAACTTAAAATCTCTCAATAAATACTAATTAATATTGTAGCTACAGTATTAATCTCTCTCTCAAAATACCCCTATTTAATAGAGAATATTCCCCACAATAAATTTTTTCTCCTTTAATAAATCCCCTTTTCAAATCAAACCCCCTTTTCTCAAATCTCTAAGAACAAAAAGGAGCAGAGAGAGGGGGAGCGAAATTGACGCCGCAAAAACGAAAGAGAGAGAGGGGGAAAAAGACACACAGGCTAGGGCACAGGGTTTCCCTTTTATAAGGAAACCCTAGGATAGCTGGCGACAGGCTGTCGTCGCCTGTCAACGATCTCACCTGCGAGGAGCTCGAGCTCGCCTGTCACTTGTCGAACTCGCCTGCAAGAAGATCTCCAATCTCGCCTGCAACTTGTCACAAGCCGGCCTGGAGCTCGCCAACTCGACCTCGCCTGCTCGAGAGCTTCGCCTGCATCTGGTCGCCGACAACCTCGCTTGAAAAATCTCGCTTGCAAGGATTGCTCCACACTCGACTCAACAAGCTATCGATCAATCAAGTCAACTTTTTCTTGAAGATCAGGTTGAGTGAGATCGAATGACAGATACTCGAAGCACTAGTAGTAGAAGATGGTGAAGCTACTTGTGTATATCCAGTTTTGTCTCCTGGCTAGAATTTTGTGACGATTTTTGGGATCATGTAGGCCTTTTGTTGAGCTTTTGGAGTTCAATATTTTTGAATTCTATTAATAAGAGTTACAGATGAGAATGTGGAAAGAATCTGTACAAATTAACAGTTTTGAATTGATATCTTTACCTTCCTGGCAACCAAAAAATAAATAAATATAATAAAATAAAAATAAATAAACAATAATCCCGATCAAAGTCACTTCTGTCCTCATCAACTTTCATTTAAACAGCTCATAACCTGAAATTAGTCCATTGGAACTTTTTAACTCAAACTGGAGCAAGTACTGAAATGGGATAATTTTTGGAAAATAGAAATACCAAAGAAACCTACAATATAATAGCCATCGAGACTGATCAATAGAATATATCAAGGATAGAAGCAATAGAATATATCAAGGATAGAAGCAATTTTCCTTAAAAGAATATTTTTATTTTACTGAATAGCATGCAATGGCACAATAAACGCCGTGACACTTTAATTTGCACAAGTGTACCTTTTTAGAAACAAGAAACCCCTCATTAGCAAGAAACAAGTAAACACCAATACAGCATACGCAACTTCAGTTGCCCAAATTTTGCAACTTATGTTGCACCATTTTCACCATTTGATGCAGTGCATGAACATATGTACGCCTTTTAAGTTAGCCATCGTATCAGATTATCAAAAAAGCCTCTTCCCTAAAGTCTTGTATCCAGCAAGAAAACTGCAGGTTCAGATTTTGCTGCGCATCCAAATTTGAAAGTGCTGTATTTTCTATGCACGCCAGTGAGCTTTCCAATTCCAGCCTTCTGGTGAAAATCCACCATCATTCTCGAACATTCCCTACAATATAAATTCATTAAAACAACAAGGAATTTTTATTAAAAGCTTGCTATATAAACCACAGAATTAAAACTCACAGAAGCTGATCTTCAGTATAGGTAGTGTATAGTTCGCTAGTCTTTGTCCAACACTTGAACCCTTTCAGACTGCACTGAGCAGTGTATACGGCAGCAGCAGCAGCAGCCAATAATGAAGGCTGGAACTTAAGCATTTGGTACTCAACAAGTGCCAGCTCAATGATGAAGTAGGAAAGGAGCTCCATCTGAAAAATAAAAGTAAACAAGAAAAAATATGGAAATTGTGATCAATGAAAGTAATTTGCATTAATAAATCAGTCAGCAAAATGATTTTCGAACCTTCTTGTCAGAATCAGCTGTCTTCAAGAACCTCCTCATAAAAACATAGGGAGTTGGCACGGACATGTTAAATTGCAAAGTGTTCAGAATCAATCTCTCCTGTCGCAACAACGCAATGCACAAATTTAGCTGGAAATTTTGATTATTCATAAAACTTCAACATAGTTAAAGTGAAAACAAAAGTATTCTCACCATTTCAAGCACTTCTTCTCTTGTGTAAGCTCGGTCAGAAATTAGGATTAGATCCTCAACAACCGGAACTGATACTTCCTCGTACTTGCAAGCCAGAAGCATCGCTGTCACTCCTACTAATTGAAGCTTCTTTCTAATAACACTCTGCCTTGCTAGAAATCGATCAATGATGTTGACAGTGAGATATAGTGTCTCTTCCATAAGCTCAAATTTGTAGTGAACCTGAATAAAAAATTTATGATGAAATTACAAAATTTCCAGTCATTTAGGAAAGGATTAGGTGTTAGAAGAATCTTTTTTTTTACCTCTATCAGCCAGTCAATGAGAATAGCTCGCATTTTTTCATTGATGTCAAACTGTCTGGACATGTAATCGGGACTGACACAGCCAGCTGTCTGCATGAGTTAAGCAATAAACTAAATTCAGCTACTATAAAATATAGAATTTGAAGAACGAAAACAATTGATTTTGTTTGCAACAAAAGTGTTGTTTAAGACAATTACGGCTTGGTAAGTAGAAGAATCATCAATATTAACCCAATTTGATGCCTCGCGCACAACATGCCCACTTTCTAATTACTGGACTAAATTTGAATGGGTTGATAACTTTAAGACTATTGATACATTCTTACTCATTTTGAAAATTTTCTTTAACTTATTTCTACAATTATACCACAATTCGAGAAAAATTCTCTATATCATATTTTCCATTAGAACAGCCTTTTTGAATAATTCGTTCGAGACAATTATTGACTTGGTGAATAGAAGAAGCATCATAAATATGATTAACACAATTTTCTGGTCTTGCAAACATGTCCACTCTCCAGTTACTGGAGTTAACTTTATGACACGTTTTACTTATTATTATTTGAAAATTTTCTTTAACTTATATCCTATGAGATAATACCCCAATTCAAGAGAAAAATTCTACTTCATTTGCTAGCATTTGAGCAGCCATGGATTAGCTTGAGTACATTAAGTTCGTCAAGAGAAAGCGTCAACCCCAATATTTAGATGTCTCAGTGACCTACAAGTTCTAGATGGATCAATACCACTTGTAGTACTATCATTTTCTCCAAACATCAAAAAATTACACAAATGTCATTAGAGGGAACAATTCAAAATCACCTATAGCATGAAGCACAACAAAGAAGCAAGAATGGCATTAAAAGATGGGGAAAGTTTACCTCGACTCTCTTGTAGTACTTGTATATATCATCGACGTATTCAGCAACTGCCAACGGATTTTTCTTGTCACAGCTATCAATATCTACAGCACTTTCCACAACTAGATCCTCCATCACAACTTCTTTCATGAGATCACAGTCCTCCTGAAAACAAAGCGAAAAAAGTTAGCACTCAATCTAATATTGAATAGAACTAAATGCAAAACTCTATTGAACAAAAGGGAAAAAACCGAACCATTTCTTCAGACCCTTCAATCATGGGCAAGTCATTGACTGAGTGACCAAACTCCAAATCAATTGCATTAAATTTTTCAGAACCAGTGGGCAAAGATGATTGTAAAGCGCTGGTGGTAGATTTCTTTTGCCTCTCACATCCAATAGCCCCAAGTTTATTACTAGCGACCTGAAAAATCACAAGTCAGTGCTTTGACGAAATTAAAAAAATAGGTGACATAAAACTGATTAGTATCTGACAAATTGGTCAGTTAAAAACTAAGCCGTGAAATTATCAAAATCCTTCGAGTAAAGAAAATACCTGATGACAAGGTTGTGATTTGTTTGCTAATGAAGCAACAAATTTCCTGGAAACAAACAATAAGATCAATAAACTTACGGTCGAAATAAAAATCAATGCATTGTGATGAAGATCTCTCTCTTACCTTGTCATGGGTCGCCGCGCCGCAAAGGTCTGATTCAAATTGTCACCAATGACATTCTTGCTGTAAAAAAAATAGTGCTGTTTTAGTGCAACAGCCAAATTCTTCTATAAACAGTTCTCTAAAAATTCCAAAAAAAAAAATTACTCTGTCAAAGCCCTCTTAGTAACCGCACAAGGGTAAGGAGGAGCCCCAACCAAATTCCTTATATCCTTCAGCGCTCTCCTATTCCCCATCTCTGAAACAAGAAACCCGATTCTTTTAATTTAGTTCCCCTTTAAAATTCAAAGTTCAATTCTTGAAACCGATCACGCTTCACAAACAACAATACCTCTCGAATTTACAGGCTTAACCACTCCTCGGTTCTCATTCGCTCCTTCCATCGTCCTCTAGGATCCTAAATCCAAACAAAATCACCAATTCAGTAAACAGTACCAAGATCAGATCCGAATCAGATCAAAAGTATCGATTGTAACCTTCGAAATTTGCCGGATTCGACGGTGGAGAGAGAGCGATCGTCGGCAAGAAAACCCCAAACTTAATTGGGGCTTTCTCTCTCTATCTCTCTATAGCTCTGAAACTCTAAATCTCTCTCTTTGACTGATCAGTAATTAAAAAGGGAAGGTAACTGGGAGATTTTTGCAAGAAAAAAAAATAGAGAACGAGAAGATCGGAGATGCTGTCTGGGGAGGGGGTCCTTTTTAAGTCTGAGGACAACGGCTACTTAATCCTAGCCGTTGGATCTGAACGGTAACCTCACCCACGTGCTTTCAAATTTTCGAGCGTCACTTGCATTCACTTAACGGGTTTGGGTTTAGGTCAGTTTTTTAAATGGCTTGCTTCCATAAAAAAAAGCTGATTATTTCCCTGACTTTGTGCCTGTCTCTTGGATTAGAGCCGTTGTGATTTTGTCTGGGAAAAGATTTGTGCACCGGCGAAGTGACCCTAGATTTGACCATAGACCAGTCAAGACAATGAATGCGGTGGGTTTGGTGATAATTGCAGACTGCAATGACCGAGTTTCTAATTAAACATACGGTTAGAGGATGTGATTAAAGTGTGGTTAGATTTGCAAGGGAAATTCACTGTTTTTGCTGGCAGTATGCATGGATCTTGGACTGATTATTGCCACAGTCATTTTTGTCCTGCAACAGCAGATTTTGAGCATATATTTTTTAAATTGTTTATGTCATGTTGCAAGTTGAAACATTCTTTTATGTATACATACATATTAATTTTCACATATTAATAATGAATAACGACTGTCACTACCCATTACAGAATCATTTTACTTTTCCAACATAGAAAAAATAAATAAATAAAATAAAATCCTATTCCTATTTGCATCTAGGCTCTCTTTGGTTGGGTTTTGTTGTGTTCCTTCCAATGCAGTCTATCAAATGGTATTAATATTGTGATAAATTATTCTATTGTAGTTTTTCATAGTTTGAAGGGAAAAAAGATTTTTAGTATATCTCCACAAATTAAGAAGAAATTCATGTTGAGATTTGGTACAATGCTGGCATTATGTTAATGTTTGAATTAGCAGAAAGTAAGGTCCTCCTCGATGACCATAAGCACAGCGCAAAAAAAAGAGGGTTTCCAGTAGGTAGTTTACAAAATAATTTAAATGCATCAAATCCTTACGGATGCAATCAAACTAAACAGCTCCAAATCAATTATGTTGGTAGGAACCACCATTTAAACCACTTAACCTGAATTTGAGCACGTCAAGTATCTCTTGAAATATAGGAAGGTTTATATGAGGTAGAATCAGGATCTTCATAGGATTCAGATTCTCTCTAATTAGGTAGTAATTGGAGAGCATCTAATCATCCCAATCCCAACCATTTATTCCAATTTCCAACGGCTTAGATGGAACCACGTAGGGTTTCTATTGTTAGGTTTCATGTTTATGAGCCTACTATATAATCTAGTTTTGATGATTAACAAACAATTCCTAACATCGTTTGTCGAGTGTTTGTATTTACTTGTTAGGAATCCTACACAAAGATTCTCGGTTGGAGGTTGGATGGAATTGAGCTTAACTACGACATCTAGGAGGTTGGCGGAATCGGAATGAAGTCGTCGCAATTCTAGTCAAGATTCATCATCGCTTCATCCGCAACTAAGACGACCTAATTGAAGATCATATGTTTTGGGTATATTAGTTTTTAGTTTATACTTTATGTGTTAATGCATAAAGCTCATATCATACACATACACGTTTTTTTGCCTTGTTATATTATACGCTTCTTTGAGAAAATAACTCACTCTTGGTTTATTGACTTTATGATACAGTTTTATATCTTTTATAAAATCTATAAATCCATTAAAAAGAATCTCAAAGTTTGTTTGAAAGAATTTCATCAAAAACCAAGTGTTTAAAGATTTCGTATCTTGAACAGTTTGCAAAATACATGAGTTTTCACAATTGGGAAATACAATTTAAAAAATTTCTTCTCTAACATGTTCATCTTCATATATACAAACATTTTCCCAAGTTTTATTAATTTTGGAGTTTTTTTGTTATTTTTAATTAATTTTACAAAATCAAGTATTCAATAGTTTTCAGACTAGAATATCTATTTTAAAACAGTGATTTCCCACAAATGGGGAGTAATATTTTAGAAATTTTTTTCTAACATGTTTATCTTCATATGTAGAAACATTGTCCCAAAATTTATAATTTTTGGAGTTGTTTTACTATTTTAAAATGAATTTAGAAGATCAGATTTTCAGGTTTTCATGTTTTGTGAATAGTGCATCAATTGACCGATTGACCTCCACTTGTCGACCGATCAGACCATTTTTCTAGAATCTGAGTTTTGCTCATCAGTCGACCGATCCTCTACAACCAGTCGACCGATGACCTTTCTTCGGTCGACCGACGCATGACCATCAGTCAGCCGATGATAGATCTGTTGTAATAATGACTAGTTTTTCCATATTCCAATTTTTAGGGGATTTTGTCTGGTTTTTTTGGTTTTGTGCTGATGTCTTGAGAACATATAAATACCCCTCAGCCCTCAACACTTAAAAATAACTAAGAGAGGTTTAAAAACAAGTTTGCAAGTTTTATTTAAGAGTTTTTAAGAAAAATTAAGTTTGTTGTTTATGTGAAGAGAGTTTCACAAGAGGAGGAGATCATTTCGGTTTTGAGCATCAATTTTCATATTTCTATCTCTCTTGTTTTCAGTGATGTTTTACTAAATTTAATCTCTAGCAATTTATATTTTGATTATCATTTTTATAAGCTAGATTTTAATTGAGTTTATATTTTATTTTACTCTTTGATTGCATACACAACCTATTGAGCCTTTAGTATTTCACATTAAGTATATTTGGGTTGTGTTGAGTGATTCATTGAGTGTGGGCTTAACTTAGTTCTCATTTTTGTAATAGAGAACAGATTATTTTCTTGTGCCTTAATATTAAGAGAACACATTGTAATACACAATGTGTTTGGGAATACCCGGGGCTACGCAAAACCCCTAAAATAGCAGAAACACGATATAGAGAAAATACACCAAGATTTAAGGAGGTTCGGTAACTGTTTACGTCCTCAGGAGCCACATAATTAATTTTTTTATTAATCAATAAGAAATTACAATAAAAGAGCAGATCTCAAACTTGAGATCTCTCAAAATACAAATCACCACTGTAGCTACAGTGTTAATCCTCTTCTTTAATTCCCCCTCAAACTGAGATGTGGGAAAAAGAATCCCTCTTAAATCTCCCCTCTTTAATTCACCGAGTGCTGGAGATAAGAATCAAGAGCCCCCCCTAATTTCTCTCTTTCCAATTTCCTCTTTAATTACTCCCCCCAAAACGCAGTTGAGAGCTGGAGGAAAAACAGAGCCGCCGCTGGAAAGAGAGAACGCATGAAGGAGAGAGAGAGAGAGAGAGAGAGAGAGAGAGAGAGAGAGAGAACCGCTGGATTTGAGCGCGAGAAGAAGCAAACGGGGTTTGAGCTCTGGGTTTCCCTTTATAGGGAAACCCTAGCTCCAGCTGGAGACAGGCTGTCGACAGCCTATCTCGGAGCTCGCCTGATGTCGTTACTCACCCGAAGCTCACCCGCACTGTCGAGCTCGCTTGCAGAACGATTTGAGCTCGCCTATAGAGCCTCGACCTCGCCTGATGTTGTTCGAGCTCGCCTGCGCGTTCACGACCTCACCTGAAGCCGACGTCTGCCTGGAGCTCGATCGCAACGAGCCTCATCATTAACCTTGCCTGAGCCGTCTGATAGAGCTCGCTTGGATCGCATCACCAACGCTCACCTGCGTGGATCTCGAGCTCGCTGGAGTTCACCTCGCCCGCTCGAGCCGTCACCTGCTAAGGTTTGTGTCTACACCGACACTAACAATCTCCCACTTAGAGACCAAACCACCGTCAGCAGACTATCCCAACAAGTGCCTCCTCCTGTATGGCTCCGCCCTCATTACCTATGTATGAAAGCCAACTGAAGTTGCGCACAACTCCAGTTTCTATAGGGACGCTACCTTTGTCAACATATCCGCTGGATTCTTACTTCCTTAGATCTTCTGTTAAAATCTTTTGACAACTTGTCAGGATTTGTACCTTCTGGAACCATCTTGTTCCTTTTTCACTCGATACACCCACTTGTTGTGATGTACCTTCATCCCCATAGGCAACTCAGCTAGTTCTCATGTCTGGTTGGAGATCAGAGATTTTATCTTTTCTTTCATAGAAAACTCTCACTTGCTCGCATCTTCACTCTGACAAGCTTCATCATAGCTTTCAAGCTCTCCTCTATCTATCAGCAATATATAATTCATGTATCTACTGTTAGGCATAGGAGGACGAGTAGCTCTCCTCAATATCAGAGCTGGTGCTTCGGGCTTCTACACACTATTCTGTCTAACAGGCTCTTCTGGCTGAGGACCTTCTGCATTGGGTTCTTACGAGAGGTTATCTAGGACATCATCTGCATCTACAAATATTGACTCTCTCTCTGAGTCATCTGTCTTGTGTATGTCCTTGTACATCACATTCTCATTAAATATCACATCTTTGCTCCTGATCACCTTCTTGTTTTTGTTATCCCAAATGTGGTAGCCGAACTCATCTTCACCATACCCGATGAAAGTATATTTCTTAGACTTGGGATCAAGCTTATTCCTACCTTGGTCACTAATATACACATAAGCTACACAACCGAAAACTTTGAAATGTGAGAGTTTTACCTCCTTTCCGCACCATACATCTTCTGGTATTCTGTACTCCAATGGAACCGATGGACCTCAGTTGATCAAGTAAACTGCTATGTTGACTGCTTCTGCCCAGAACTGCTTCGGTAGGACTGACTGTATCTGAATGCTTCTGGCTCTCTCTGTCAACGTTCGGTTTATCCGCTCAGCTATACTATTTTGCTGAGGCGTACCAGGCACGATCCTCTCCATTCTAATCTAGTGCTCATAGCAGAACCTCTTGAATCTGGTGTCTTCATACTCACCGTCATTGTCGGTCCTGAGTTTCTTTATTCTCAGATCGGTCTCATTCTCGACCATGGCTTTCCATCTCCTGAAAGCCTCAAATACTTCCGACTTATGCTTCATAAAGTAGACTCATACTTTTCGAGAGTGATCATTGATAAAAGTTACGAAGTAGTGTTTCCCACCAATGGACGCGGTGGTGGTTGGTCCCCAAACATCTGAGTGAACGAGCTCTCCCACC